GATGTTATGAAGCGGCCGTTCTGAGCAGGAGATTTTCATTATAATTAAAGAACAGTACTAGTAGATATGAATAGTAGTTTGATGTCTTGTCATTATGCAGCTATTATTTTGAATTGGTAAGTCTACAGCCTACTCCTTATTTCTCTCATAAATACAGAAACGGGAGGGGGGAGGTCACATTAAACTAGAAATAAAATATGTAAGTATATAAAAGTATTGGTATTGGCAATAATGTATTACTTGGTATTGGATCCTATTGGAATTAAGTGGTATCAGACATCACTAGTCGATGTCATCGAAACTCTTATAGCTTATAAAGCTTATATAGCTCCTATAGCTTAATTGACCCTTCGCTAAGCCCCGCCCCCCTAAGTTACTAAGTCCGACAAACTGTCTATAACTGCACTCCCCAGAGGAATATTGTCAAATTTGTAGGAAAAAACTATCTCAGAAAGAAGTAGACAGTTTTGCCGTTGCAAAAAATGAAAGATATGAGGTAAAACATACCAATCACAGAGTACAAGTGAACCACCGCATCCCCTGACAATTGAGACAAAAGACAACGATATGAACGATCATATGATGCGTATGGATGTATGTATATACATATATACATACATGTACATATCATGATGATATAACATCAGAATTGGTACTTCTTCACATTCGGATATTTTATTTATGTTTTCAACTAAAATTGTAGCTTTAAAATTAAGCAATATCTTCTTGTGACCCCTCACATGGCTCATGGCTTTTGTGTGAACATACACTTGTGAGTAGCTCAACCAAAGAGTGATTTCTCCTTCTCTGAGAGTTTCAGTTGATGGATTTTTTATAGGTTAAAGGTATTCATTTCTTTACAAGAAGGTAGTAGTTTATTCTATAGGGATGGCATCTAAAAAATGTGGTGCATTGCATTGTCAAGCTGTTAGCAAAAAGTACTGTCTGTGGCAAGTACAGTACTTTTTCAAGACAGTAAATATAGTACTTTATATAGTTTTCTGCCCCCAACCCAATACAGTGGAGGTGGACAGATGTGTATTTGTGGTGCTCACAGAAAAATTCTCAATAACTTTTTATCCATTCCTCCAATACTGTGCAGTGTCTGCTGCGAGACTGTGGGTTGCAAGATGTGGTCAGCCAGCACAGGTTTTGGTTTTGGTCTCTCCACGATGGTACCAAACCTGGCAACCAAATATACAGTGTGTTAATAAGGGTGTAATATGTGTGTTAATTGCTTCTAGTCTTCATGCTAAACTAGATAAACTGTGTAAAGACTCCGACAGACATGAGATTGATATTGATCTTCTCATCTCGCACAAATAAGCATATTTCCCAAACTGAACAATGAACTATTTCTATAAAGGCTGTAGTAGTTTTAAAAACAACATTTACATGGTTTTAATATGTATTAGATAGTGGATAGTACAGATATTCTTTTATAATAGATAACCTCTATGATACGCGCTGTAAATTTAAAAAAGAAAAAATTGTCCAATGCTGTGAGCACCACAAACAAAAACTCTGTTGTACTGGGGTGGAAACAGAAATCTCAAAGATAGATGTCTCTCTGGTCTGGATATCACTGGCTAATCAGTAGTAATTTATTTGTAATTTGAACATTTTCTGTTATTTGTTTCAAAATCTTTTTATCATTATTCCTTTGTGAATTAAAGAATGAAAAGATCTGTGTACGTCAGTCAATTAATTATGTTTTAAACAAAAAATGATAGTCACATGGTCTATTCCTTTTTTCTTTTCAAATGAAAAAAAGAACAATAGACAGGAAGTGGAAGTGAAGTGTAAAGTAGTAGTAGTATGTAAAGTGTTGAGCAAGATTATTATAGTTAAACTAAACTCAGAACTAAGTCTAGGTGTAAATAGTCACAATAGTCAGATTAGTCATTATTAATTTTAGTATTATTATTACATTTTAGTTTTTTAATTTTTACTGATTCTTGATTTATTGTTTTGTTTTTGAATTACAAATAAATTACAGCGATATCCAGACTGTCACTAAACCAATCTATTTATGACTAGGCTGCCCTGGATCCCTAGACCTCAAGGCACCCCTGAAGCCTGAACTTTCACTTTGTGCAAGTTTTAGTGATTTGACAAATTTGTTTGAGAACATGTCTAATACATCATGGTATCACCAGAAATGATAAGGACCTTAAGGCGACGGTTTATTACCTAATCTTTTGACCCTGACTAGTAAGTGGGCCCTATATCAAATTGTCAATCAAATCACAACAATTTACTTCATTAAGTTCCAACACAGGAGTACTTCTTTCTGGGTAAATTATGATGACACTGCCATGTGTAGTCTGCTGTGTATACTGCTCATAACGAGCACTTGAAGGAGACTGGGTGCACAAACAACACACAAAGAGCAGGAGCAACAGGGGGGCCCACAATCATTTTTTACCTCAGCCGTCTCTAATGGTTTAATCCAGCCGTGCAGACCTCCCACATCTTAAATGAAATTGAATGAATTGAATGAAATGAATAATTTAAGGTGTACTTTATGTGCTTTTGTTTTGGAATTGAAAAGAAAAATCTAAATACCTGTTCTGCAGACTGTGTTCCCATAAGCAGGCGGTTTTGCATTTTAACTTTTACTTTTTTCTCCTGTTATGTTGGTACTCAGTGTTGTTGTGTTCATGTGGGGACTGGAAGGTCTATAGAAAAAACATTGTCTGACGTTTTCTTGCTTCATGCCCCGTTTGAAAACAGCCCACACGGAAGTGCTACTGAGGCCTGCGAGGGCCAACAGGAATTACAAAGTGGAGCATTGGGATGACGCATTCATGGGTCTCATCTGATAATCAGTGACATGGAATAATTCGCTGATGCTGTCAGCTCAAAATAGAAAAAGGAAATCTTCTGGCAAAACCACACACAGGACATTTCATCTGTGGCTGAACAAACACAAACCTCACTTCTTCTACCTCAATCTGTGGCCAAACCTTGTAATTTAGGGAACATACATGGCTATATCCCTAATCTGGACAGACCCTTTTACCACTGCTGTATTCTCGCAGTGCAGTTTAGCTCAGCTCAGAATGGATACTGGCTTTGGCTTCCTGTGACCCAGCAGCAGAGAGAGCTGAAACAAAGCCAAATCAGAGACCCATCCTGCTCCATAAGCAGCACTAGTCCGGGCTTTTTTCACAGCAGGTGTCTGGTGTTACGTCCACTGAGGCAACATGTCAGCAGAGGCTCAAGCATTGCTGAGTCTGGCACGTGTGGCATATGTGGCATATGGTGTGATTAAGAGTAGGGAGGACACTCTGTTAACAGCTGGAACTGGGCACGAATTAATATCCACCCTTCCAGGTAGCAGCTTTGCTGTGCCACTTGTTATGTAAGGCTGGAACCCTTACTGCTGCTCAGATTAACTGTACTACAGCAGTCAATGTGACTTTAGTACACAAATGACAGAAGGATGTGTTCATTTGTTTAGCTATTGATGAGAAGGCTAGTAGTATACTGCTAGTAGAATACAATGCTTTGATTTTTCTGGTGAGGACAGTCTCGTATCAGTGAACATTTTGGCTGGTTGGTGGTGCGAAAAAGTGCAAGCCATCATTATGATATCCCCTCAGGGGACCATGATTAGCTAAATCTTAGTTACCCACACTAGGCGTACATACTTCAACAGCTGAGTATTCCTTGGAATTGAACTCATAGTGGACATGCAAGAGTTTTTGCCCAGTCATAACCTAGCAGTTAATGTTTTTTTAACTCGAAATCACAATTATGCCCTAAACTACAGAGCCCCCAAAGGGTCATGGTGAGAAAACTTTAGCGTTCCCTCACAATCTGTTTTGCGTTACCTCCCAAATTTTTGCATTACTTCACAATAGTTCTTGTCCAATACATTTTGCATTCTCTCACAATACTTTTGCATTACCTAAGGTAAGCAAGGTAATTCAAAACATATTGTTAGGGAACGCAAAAGTAGTCCTCAAAAATATTCTCTCCGTGACCCTTAAGGGGCTCCATACTAAACCTATGTGTTTTTGTTGCCTTTAATGTGAAATGAGTAAGATATTACCAGAAATGTTGTTTAAAACATAAAAAAAAAAAACTTATTAATAGAATGTGAAGAAGTAACAGTTTCGACGTTATGTTAAAGTGGTCAGAATATTGCTTTGCATAGATATCCGCTGAATTTTGCATGCTAACCAAATGTTGCTGATGCTGGAAGCTTCAACCTCCCGATCATCATTCCACATTCACAGTGCAGGGTTGTTTGCCAGAGCCGATAAAACATTCACAGCCCAGCAGCAAAAACCCGGACTGGATTCTTCTTTAGTAAAAAGGTTTTTTTTTGTTTTTTGCCTGACGAACTGAACCCGATTTACTTTTGCTTGCTATCAGGACTGGACTGAATTTATCTTTGTGTTTTATGAAATGAACTGCACCTAATTTGTGTTTTGAGATTGTTTGTATTGAGTGTGCAGAAAAACCAGAAGTGGAATTTTGAGTTGGTATGTGCTATATTTTGTGACTGTGCTTTTGTGTGAAATCTTTAAATACCCAAATATTTAGTTTTTTGCTAAGCTTTTGAGTTTGTGTTGTTCTTTTATTTAATGCTCATTCAGTGAGAGCTGTACATTCTTGCAAGATGTACATCCTTTGTGATGTTTGATTTAAATAACTTTAAAACAAACATCCATCCATCATCAACCGCTTATCCTGCATTCAGGGTCACAGGGGCTTCTCCAAAAGCTAATTGAAGTCAGGAGTCAGCCAACCTGGAGTCCAATCGAAAACTGAAAAACCTGTTTAATTAAGCTCTCCGAAGCAGCAAGTCTGATCTATACATCTACTACTGCACTCTGGGATCTTCTTGTTCTTTGAGTCGTGGTTCCAAATCTGCACTATTATGTAACTTTAAAACAAAGCAAGATAGTCAATGGGCCTGATATAGTCTATATGTACATTACAGTTGTTGTTGTTACTCTGTTCTTACTCTTGATTTTTTTCTGCAGGTCCAGCTGTCCCTGTTGGAGTGGATGTTCAGGTGGAGAGCTTGGACAGCATATCAGAAGTAGACATGGTAAGTGGCTTGCATATGTTAAATGCTATACAATACACATAGTAAGATTATAGTAAAAATGCATTACAAGTAATGTAGTAGCTGCAACCTGACTGCAAAAAGAACTGAAATATGGTGCAGAAACTGAAAATATATAATGAAAATAGATTCTGTTTGGGCATCAAAATAGAAGATTGCTTTGATTATTCTGTCACTCGAAAATTTGAAATAAAACTTGTCATTTCTTGTTGCCAGTAGGTGGCGCTTTGAGTGAATATTGGCATATGGATGTGTTCAGAGAGGGACTATTATCATACATGTCAAAGAGGGATGAAATGGTATGAAAATTTCATATCACGATAATAGTGACCAAAATTATCACGGTTATCAATATTATCACGGTATTGTAAAAATGTGCCAAAAAATATTAAAATGTACTGATACACACACTGAAACCATTTCAACAAGTTTTATATCGAAAACTACAAATACAATTGCCATTTTGTTTGCATAAAAAATAAAATAACTGCAAATACCTTTTGTAAACAAATGAAAATCATCTAAGTGTGCATTATCAAGATTTTATATTATAGGCCTATAGGTAATACAATTATCCCGTGGACAATTACATGAAAAAAAATAAGTCTTCAGAAGACAAAAACTGACATGAATACAGAGGAGTCTGTAGCGTTTCTAGATATGCTGGTTGGTTGACTGAACTGCATAACGTGTTATCATGTGCAGTGGGCGAATATGCTGTGTTCCATTTACCTCTGAAGTCGCAGGTCGGAGCTGGGAATGACATCACACCCGAGTTGACGGCGTTCCAGTTAACAAGTCGGAAAACCTCGCTCGGCCAGCTGTTGGTTTACAAATAGCCAGGTTAGCTATTGATACGCCGGTTGATTTAAAAAAAACTGATTGTGCGGTATTGTGCGGTATTTACTCACACTAAACACTGTAGCAACACGTCCACAGACATCTGTTGGACAGCACTTTGTGTACGAACATTTATATGAGTCACAAGTACACAGAAGTGCTAATAAACAGTACAAACGACTTTCACTAACTTTTGATACCCCGACAGCCATCTTGGATCACGAAGTCGGGGTAGTGCAGTTCTCGTCGGAATCTCGACTTGGGAAGTCGGGATTCCGACTTAACGTTCCTTTGAAATTTTGACCTTTGAACTCGGAAATTCCGACTTCCCATGTCAACTGGAACGCACCGTCATTGACTCTGCCGACACACGACGCACACAGCAGCAGAACAACGTGTAACATTGTCACAAGAGACGCTTCTGGGAGACGCTGGACAGTGTTTGCCATGAGATTATAATAGCACGGTTAACCATACCCAGTTACCATGGTAATTAAAATGTGTATGGTAATAATAACCGTTGGAAATTTTACCATGGTTTACCGTTAAACCAGTAATAGTTTCATCCCTAATGTCAAATTTGGTATAGATATGAGCATATACAGCATGAAGCAATAACAACTTCCTGTTTCGCAGCTAATCATTGATTTTTGACGCCACGCCATGGACACATTTGTCGGTAAAGGGCATTGCTCCAGAAAGCTTTTCTGCTTGTCTGGACATGATACATGTACCACAGAAATTTCGTACACCTGCACTGCAAAAAACGGAGCTCTCAAGAACAAAAAAAAAAGCATTAAAATGGGGGAAATATTACTTAAAATGAACACTATTATCTGCCAACGGAACAAGAATATTTCACTTGCTACTTAAGGCCAAAGAAACTTGAAACAAGTGAAATTCTCTAACATAAAAAAACAAGTATATTTTGCCTTCAATTACTAAGATTTTAGTTTTTGCAGTGTGGGTGGAACTTTGGCCAGGGACTGCTCTGTAGGGGCGCAGGCAAGCCATTTTTCCAACCTTTTTAAAATGTAAATGTGTGTGTGTGTGTGTGTCAAGGTCAGGTTTTGAGAAGCCATTTAGCCTTTGAAATCTGGTATTACGGAGTTGAACTAAAAGTAAATGTTACTTATTTTATTTAGTGTTTTACAGTTTAGGAGGAAATTCATCTCTGTCAGTTTGCAGCTGTGGAAGATGCTGACTTTACCAAATGAACTCCCACTGCCTCAACACATGGGGTAGAAGATCTCTTCAGATAAAGCAAGCAGGAACATTCATCATTAACAGCATGAGAATAGACACATGAGCACCACAGTGACACAGATGGTGGTAACAACTCTTTTGATTGGACACACCAGTTCAGAGCCCCAATATAGTTTAAAGCAATCAGTTGTCAAATAATATAAATGTGTTCTGCCACTGACTTCAGAGGGAATCTGTACTTTGAAATGAATTATTTTAGTTATAGTCATTTAGCTGTTTTTTTCAGTTGGATAATCAGAATCAGATTATGAAAACTCAGTGGTAGGAAATTGTTTATTTTACTCAAAGTCAGACTGAATGCACGTTGAGTAATGTAATTAAATCAGCCTTCTGTCCTGGAACCATAAATTGGTTCCAAAACTGTCGCCCTGATGTTATGTAAACTCCTGTTTGCAAGGACGACCAAGGATTACATTTAATTTGGATTCCAGAGATGTGTATTTAATTGTTTTGGAATGGGGGGGGGGGTTACTGATTCCAGATGCCGGCTGCTTTTAATGACATTATGTCATATCAAAAAGCTGCAAATGATCTTTTGCTATTTCATTTAGTTAAAGGCAGGTTAGATAATATTAATATATTAATATAATTTAGCAAAAACAAGATTGTGAAGGTTAACATATCTTATATCTCATGAAAAGCACAAAACCAATAATGTATTCAGTTAGGCCTGGAATTTCATCATTTTAGGAGCAACTAAAAAACCAACTTGTTCTTTGTGGAGGCACAAAGACCAGATGCCGGGGCAGCAAGGCCATCAAGTAAAACAGTGATTTTAAGTGCATGGAAATGATGAATTTAGCTTTTTAATTTGTTAATGCTAAGTACTATCTTGTCAATTATCATATCCACTCATGCATAATGAGTTAAACTTTTCGAAAGTTGTACTGTAGCATGTCACCTTTTTTTAATAACCTGCCCCATCCAGGCTGTGATTGGTCGGTTCATGAACAGTGACATTGGTCGAGGGCATCAACTTTATGAAAAGTTGAACATGTTTCAACAAAAGGCACTCAATACAGCTTATCAATAGTGGGGCTGCACGATTAATCTTATTGCAGTTGCAATCACAATTTCATCCTGTGCAATTACATAACCGCAAAAAGGATTTGATTCAATTTAATTGAAAAAAAAAAGTGTGCTGTGTGTGTGACTGCAGTCTGCTCACTATACCCGCCCACAACAGGCCGGTCGCTCTGTGAGAGAGGTGTGTCGTGGGCAGCTGAAGCAGTAAGGCAGAAGAAAAAAGGGAGACGATAAAGAAAGTTTGGGTTTGGATAACTAGCTATTTAACGTTAGCTGTATCGGTGCCTTTGTTGTTCAACATTTCACAGAGCCGACGTGCTTGTCAGTCACTTTTCATCAACCGGCCAATCACAGCCTGAATGGGGTGGGACATTAAAAATGGATGACGTGCTACAGCAAACTTTACAATGTTAACCAATAGGATTATTGAAAAGTTAGTACTGAGCATTAACAAATTAGAAACCAATGTAGAGCCTTTTTCATGCACAAGGATTTAATTAATAAAAGCCGCCCACAGAAATGAAACCACTGCAACTGGTTTTAATAATCAACAAGTGGTAAATTAGTATACTATTATATGAACATTATAGTTTTTATTTAATGGTATATCATTATAAAACTCATTTATAGTAGTTCTTCCGCTGTTTACAATGTGTCTGTTACATGAGCTTAAGTAACTCTCTCACCTCTGCTCATTCTTCTGGCTTCCGCTGCAAAACCTTGACCAACAGTTCAACTGATATTCAAACCCTTTCACATATAGTGGTCACTACAGTAGACAGCTATTCAACACTTCTATATACATGGATTTTGATGGATTTTGTTCCACATCAGCCACCACAGTGGCAATAGTACATCATGTCATACACTGCACCTTCCAACATAAAGAGAAGCTGAAGAGTCAGGAGCAAGGTTCCAAATTTTTGCATTGCATTAAACAGTATTAGAATCTGTTTAAATATTTAGATTTCACATAATATATCTTTTAATTCATTGGTATGTTAAATACAGTGTCTTCAGTTGAAAACTCAAATGCACACTGTCCACCTGAGTGGACATGTGAAAAGTCCTTGTTAGTTGTTGTTAGTTTAAAAAAAAGTTCAATTTTTGTTTTTCATGCCTAAAGAGCAATAAAAAAACACAAATCCTGACTGAGGCTGTCATAATTCATGCATGAAAGGGTTTAAGGATCTTTGGGAGGATGTAGGCTGACAAGTGTGCCAACAACGTGTCTTTCTTGCGTGTTTTTTGTATAATGGGCTGCTCAGGTGGCCCACAGAGCGATTTCTCCTGGTGCTCCTGATGATCTGTCCAAGGGACAAAGTAAATTTATTTAAGAAGAGATGCAGATTGTAGTTCCTTTATGCTACAAAGCAAATGCTAAGTACAGAAATTATATACAGAAATAAACTATTTAGCATGGAGCAGTGCTGAGGATGAATTAGAGTTTAAGAGTCTGACAGCTCGGGGTGAAAAGCTGCTCTGCAGTCTGGTGGTGCAGCAGCAGAAACTTCTATATCTCTTCCCAGAAGGCAGCAGGGTGAACAGGCTGTGGCTGGGTGGGTACTGTCCTTTAGTATCCTATGGGCTCTGCAGACACCTCACCTCACCGATATTACTGATGCTCAGGAGATGGGTACCAATGATCTGAGCAGTTTTAATCACCCGCTGCAGAGCCCTCCGGTCCTGGGCCGTGCACATCCCATGTTAGTGATGTTTCCAGTCTATTTAACAAACATAGTTTAATTTTTAAAAATGAAAGTAATTTCCTAATGCCCAATGCATAATAAAGATCTAAACAATAATGAAGGAAATTATGTTACATTACATACAACATTATATGTCCAAGCGATCTTTATCATAAAAGTAATTGTACACTGTGTTGAGAAATGGAGCTGGAATGTGCTGATATTTCAGAATGTACAGGATACAGACAGTAAATCATTACACAAAACATCTCTCATTAGTAAACTTACAACACTACAGTTGTTACCTATTGGAGAGATTCAGACATGCATCTGAACTCATCTTATGCAACATCAAAGGTTCTTCTGTGGTTGTTGCCAAGAGTACAATGTGTTGCTGCAGCCATTATTCGGAACAAATCTGGGTTTATGTAATGCCATGAGGAGAATAGGATAGAGGAGGATCTGCTGTGGCAGGAGGGAGTATTGCAGACGGAGGACCACTCCTGCCTGCATAGCAACGAGATGAGAAGACAAAGGTAATCTTGGACCTGGAAGCTGTGGACTATACTTAGTTAACATATGTTCAGCACTTCTCTTGACCATGTATGTTAAGTCATAAACAATCCCTATAATCCAGCGGCCACGGGCCACAGCAGTGTAATCCCAGTGGAATCAAATAAACCAGAGGCAGCAAGGAAGTAGAGTCCTTGTAGAGCCTTAATCCAGAGGCTGTTTCTGTTTCTGTCACCCCTCCCCCGCTCCCTCAGGACTTCACCATGACCCTGTATCTGAGGCACTACTGGAAGGACGAGAGGCTTGCCTTCCCAAGCTCCACCAACAAGAGCATGACCTTTGATGGGCGCCTGGTGAAGAAAATCTGGGTGCCTGATGTGTTCTTCGTGCACTCCAAGAGGTCTTTTATCCACGACACTACTACTGACAACATCATGCTGCGGGTCTTCCCCGACGGTCACGTCCTGTACAGCCTTAGGTGAGGGCAGGAAGCTGACAGATATCTGCCTTCATTGGGTTTTTGTGCACCAACAGCATCATGCATAGAGCAGTGATGTTTACAGTGTGTTCTTAATTCCCCAGGGTTACAGTTACTGCAGCCTGCAACATGGATTTCAGTCGTTTCCCTTTGGACTCACAGACATGCACACTGGAGCTGGAGAGCTGTAAGTGTTCACGTGCCCTCACACTCCAGTCTATTGCTAAGAAGAATGTGGAAATATTGTGCACCTAATTATTGAAGCATGTTGCCTCAAACAGCACCACACTGACTAAAAACACTGAGTTGTTATTTATTTCTATTTTATTACTATATACTGTTATTTGCCAGTAAGAAGTTAGCACCGCATCTGTCCTACTTTAATGGTATTATTCAACTTTTAAATTGCATTAAAAGTATTCAGCTTTATTTGAAAAATTGTTATAATGGAGTCAATTAGGAAATCCTTCAAATTCCCTTGCATTCAACCTCTTCCCACTAATTCATATATTCACGTACAAACTCTATTCAAATCTTAAAACGTTCACAATCCTTTTTATTATTAATTAAACTTTTTCATATCATTCATACTTTATACACAATTTAAGTTTTATGCAATTTTCAGTGCTTTTCTGAGTTTATAATGGAATGTTCAGTGGCATTGGAAATAAACAATTATTAATAAACATATTAATAAATATTTTTAAAATAATTTTGACACCAAAATAAATTGAAACATGAAAATAAGGTTAGAAATTTATTTGTTTGACTATTATTCAAGACTGAGAATTTGCAGTATATCAGCCTCAGCAGAGATCCAGCTACTGCTGCTGACACTGAAACTAGTACAAATCTATACTTACATTCATGCTTTCTGTCCTTCAGATGCTTACACAGATGAAGACCTGATGTTGTATTGGAAAAGCGGTGATGAGTCCCTGAGCACAGATGACAGGATTTCGCTGTCTCAGTTCCTCATCCAGAAGTTTCACACTACCTCCAGACTGGCTTTCTACAGCAGCACAGGTAGACTGAATGGAGTTCATAGATATTTTCTAAAAGGCTGGTGGGTAATCACTAGCCAAAAATGGTGACTGCTCTTTATCTACTAAATTATCTAATCAACTAATCTTTTTTATTAGTACTGTGGGTTAAGCAGAACAGCATCAGTTAATTTCCTTCTGACCTTAGTTGAAAACAAATGCAGCAACATGGATCATCACTACAGCTACCCAAAAGGAGTAAAGTCTGGGACTCACAGTGTGTGTCACAGCAACAAAACATAATAGGTGATCCCATTTATTAACCCCTCGATGCCTGAATTTATTTATTATTTATTTAAGGGGTTAAAAATGTTCTGGAAAAACAGCTTACAAGAAAGGTTTTTTTCACAATAAGAAAACATGCAATGCACTGTAAATATAGAAGAAACAAATGTGGATTGTCCAAAAACAGTAACTGCTGATTACTGCGTTATATTCCTTTATATTCTGAATTGTCATCTGCCCCCTAAATTTTGTGGTTCTCCAGAATGCAGGAAATTAATATTTTAGGGCTGACCCCCAATAGTTGAAGATTCGATGCTTTGATGGGCGGAGCCTGATTCGACTCAATCTCACAGTCGACGCTTCGCAGTGAAAAAAGAATCACGGCATTTTGGCGATATAGGGGTGCTCAACATCTAATTTTACATAGAACTACCAGTTGTCTCACAATAAGTTAATATACAGCCTATTACAATATATATTTCAATGTTTAATGATGTAAATAAAAAGAATAAAACGTTCAATAAATGTGCGTGAATAAATCCAAAATTGTAACCCTAATCCTGTAATCCTAAAAGTTACAGTTATTGAGAAGCAGATGTCATATTTACAAAGGAAAGAAACAAGAGCGAAGGAGACGAGTGACGAGACAACGCCACTGTGACAACTAGCTGTCAGGGAGAAGAGAAGAGAACCTCATTTTCAGTATTGATACTGTGGGAAATGAGAATTAAGTTTTTTTTAAATATTCAGAATTGATATGTATCAAAAAATCAATATTTTTGACAACACAGGTGCATATTCTTAAATAAATCCATGTTTAATCACTGTATAACCAAGCCAGGTTGGAGAGCACAGAGGGAATCAGTAGGGACCCTCAGTTCACTTTTTGCCTCGTTGCCTGCATACAAGTATCAGGCCTTGATTTTGTGGAGTTAGAAGTAATTGAATTGGCTGAGTTGAACCTCAATGAGGCAAGCCAAAGTTAAAACTGCATCAAATTGGTGTAGTTCACTTGCTTTGGTCTGAACCAAATACAATGTTGATTTTTTTTTGTTTGATAAGCTTTCAAACTGCTCTTTTTGCAGGTAAACCAAAATTTGTAAACAAAACCACATGTGTGCCAAGGTCATCCATACATTGTACAGGAATTCTGGAGCGAGGATAAGCAGAAACTTTCGATTTACAAACCAAACTATATAATATCTGGAGAGAGAGCATGCTCTTATGTGTGCCTACCATGGCATGCTGACAGTGGCACTGCGCAGAAGACAGATCGGATATGAAGTCCAAATTCATAGAGAGGTTATGTTCTGTCATCTCCTAGCTGGCCAAACCTTTCAACTCTTTTGAATGACACACTTGAAGCAGGACAGTACATGTCTTGCTGCATTTTTTCTATTATCTTTGGCTGGATCATCTACATACAGCACTGATCTAACGTTATTAAAAATAATTTTGATACATCAATCTGTTTTTTATAATTTTACATAAATGCTCATAAATCAAAATTGGCTTAAGCTTTTGGAACCTAACTTTGAGCGTCGGTTTGGATGCTCGGCCCTGGAATATTCTTCCACTAGGGGCTGCCACACGTGCAAAAGTTTATACCTTGTAATTCGCTGCATGGATTTGTACAAAATTCTGATGTGATCTAGAGTCACTACTCGGTTAACATTGGCGTCGCCAGGTCATTTTTCCGGGGCTTTAACCCCCAATGTTTTGCCTGTAATGTAACTCAACAACAACATCAAAAATATTTTCCATATTATTATGCAATAATCTTTATGACACAGCCTGTCTCACAGGTTTACTCTCAATATTAGCCTACTGCTTCATTTAGAAGTTTGAAGCCCCCCCCCACCACCATTTCTCAGCATGCCTGCATTTAGAGAGAGAGAGAGTGCAGCTTTAGTTTTCTTCTAAGAGTAGCCTATAGTCCCAGATGGGCTCTGTGTCTGTCAGACGGTCTAAAGACGGTAGCCTACTACCGTAACAGAAGCGCAATAATGCAGGGTAATGCACAGCTACCAAAATCCACACAGACATTCTCTAGTGTTTCTGAAGGTTTTCAAATCAGTCAAACTGTAATTTTGCATTTGCATTTTGCATTCAATAGCTTGCTGTAACTTGTACAGTATGCACATTTTCTCTTTTGCTCAATGTTGGAGGATCAAACATGTGATGTCAATGCCTCAACTTGTGAGAAGGTCAGCTACTCTCCAGATGCAAAGTCTGACCAAGACAATAAGCTGTTCAGACCATAGTGAAGTGACCAAGTTTTCCTATTTTACTTGGATCCCGTGACACTTTCTTCAAATTTTTCTCTGCTAAAAAGTGTTTGTGCAGCTTAAACCTTAAAACTTTCAAACACAAAATGTTGCAGGTAGGTTGAACATTTCAAGTAGTCCAGTAGAAATAATGACACACTCTGATCTCACGGTGATGCTGTAAAAATCAAGTTTGCGTTTCCATAATTATCTCAAAAAAGGGCTTGGCTTTGAATCCAAAGTCTTTCATCACTTTAATCTCTTACGTAATATGCATCTGGTCTTCTCCTCTGAAAATGTCAACGACTTGCTTGGACCCCAATCATTGCTGCTTAAATTTTACATTTGGATTGTCTGGACTCTGGAATTTATGTTTTACTTAATAAATCAGTTGAACTTTTCCAGCCGTATTTAGTGTGTGCTATTGGGTCCTAACACCTGCTGGCCTGCCTCAGCACACTGTCCTATCTGACAGTAATATCTTCTGTATTTTTTGCAAAATAGAAAGTAGCCCTAATTCTTACCTACATTGTAGAAAACATTTTCAGTGACCAATATCTGCTGCTTGAGTGACAATGTAACATTACTGTTAAAGCAGTTGCATTTATCCATCTATGGTACTGAATCCAAAATGCTTTCACACATAATTTCTCAGATGGTTTGGTTACATGATTATCCATTATGTGTAGTTTCTTATTTTTTCCCTGTTTTAAGTTAGCAAAGAGAACAATTTGTCAATTTCACTGCAGACATTTTGACATATCTCAGTAACAATGGCTGAATTTCATTTGGCTGCTTCAGGGTCCTGGTTTGCCTTACTGGAATATAATAGGGCCATCATTAATGTCATTAGAAACACCTTTTTATAACAAGACAAGTCCAAATGTCAGCTGTGAAAATAGTTTAGTTAAATCATAGGACAACAGGGCGGGACATCTGTTGCGCACTGATTTATTTGTTACATATTTTTGTTCTAATGATCATTTTCATAGTAGTCACAGCACTTATAGCCCCACCCCAGTATAATGGAGTAAATTATTTAACTGAATAATTACATTTGAAGTCAGTGGTGTATTTACAAAACATGTCCTGGTTACGCTCACAATCCACAGTCTGAAGGACACTGATAACCATTATCAAAGATACAAAATAGTGTTACTAAAGGTAGGAAACAGTAAAAGCTGTTGAAAATAATTGTTTGGCTTTGCCCAATGACGTTTTACACAGCAAAATGAGATTAACGCTGTATCCAGAGAAAGGTCTTCCTCTAAGAAGGAAAAGAAAGGAAAAACTCAAATACAACAATGCTGATGTGAAAAACATACCACTTGGCTAGTTTAATATATTTCATATATTTCTCTTACATTGTTATTATTTTCTACCTTGCTGTGTTCAGCGGTCATAGATTTTGTTTTCCAAAGCAGTTTTCTCTTTTCAGTTCAGCTGTTGGTTTGTTTGTTCATTGGTTTGGTTTTATGTGCCCCTTCCACCCTGTGCAGATTAGTTGTTAATTCTGTGTTTAATATAGCATTTTAGCACATAATTCCTCTGTTCTACCTCTGACAAATAAAACAATTTGCAAATATCCGCTGTATTTTACTTCCTCCCTGTCCCCAGGCTGGTATAACCGTCTGTACATCAACTTCACTCTGCGGCGTCACATCTTCTTTTTCCTGCTGCAGACCTACTTCCCTGCCACTCTGATGGTCATGCTGTCCTGGGTATCCTTCTGGATCGACCGCAGGGCAGTCCCTGCAAGAGTCTCATTAGGTAAGAAGACATATGCAACATAATGACCGTCCTGCATGTCCAAATTGTGTGTCCAAATCACATCACAGTGAACTAAGAGCACAACCCAGTTGCACAGGAGAATGGGGAATCCAACTGAAATTTACTCACTGGCTTCATCATCAGCCAGACAGAAACATGAATGAGCTGTGAATGTGCTTACCTAGCAACAACCAATCACTGATCCGCATTGCTTGCCTGGGGAACTTCTCCATTGTTTCTGTTCTTACAAATTTAACTCAACTATTTTAATTTTAGTTTTTCTCAAAATATACAGTTAAACAGTGCAGCAGTTTGCAAGACTGAGTTTATTTCAGTGTCTGCATCCTTGTACTTGACATACAGAGATAAAAATGGATTCTTCATGTTTCAGGTATAACCACAGTGCTCACCATGTCCACCATTATCACTGGAGTCAACGCCTCCATGCCCAGGGTTTCCTACATAAAGGCTGTGGATATTTACCTCTGGGTCAGTTTTGTCTTTGTCTTCCTGTCTGTGCTTGAATACGCTGCTGTCAACTACCTGACGACTGTGAGGGATGGTAAAGACCGCAAGCTCAGAGAAAAGATCAGGGAGCAGGTATGGTGACCTTTTTAGATATGGCATATGACTACAAATGATGCTTTCAACTTTGTATTCAATTTTCATTTATTTCCTCTCTTCGGCCCAGTCTCAGACAATCCCCTGCACCTGTGGCATGTCCCACACCAGAACCATGATGCTGGACGGGACATACAGTGAGGCAGACGCCAACAGTCTGGCAGGGTACACAAGGGCCTCCATGGTGGCTGAGGATGCGTCAGAAAAACAGGAGCGGATGGTGGTGCATCTCTCTCTGGACAACGAGCCCACAGGGACTAAGAAGAAGGGCATCCGCGGCTTCCGTATCATCCAGAACACCCATGCCATCGACACCTACTCCCGCATGATCTTCCCTGGCGCCTACATCCTTTTTAACCTAATCTACTGGTGTGTGTACTGCTGAGTGTGTGTGGGTTTTAGCTTAACTCTAGCAGTAACAGAATAAACTGCGAAACCTTAACATTGACCTTAAAGAGAGAGATAGTTGTTTCCATTCTGCACATTCAGATGGAGCAACAGGTTTGGCTGGATGGCTTTAGAATATCAGAGGACATCTGTGTGTGAATATCCCCAACTCTGGTTCACATATCACCGCTCCACTGGACCACTTATAGAGCTTCTCCTTCTTAACATAATTATATCACACGCTCACACTTACCCGATCATACTCCAACAGCCTTGTGGGTCTGGTTGCACAAGGTTTGTTTTTAGACTAGTCTAATGCCAGTTGGACAGAAATCACAGTTGACTCTGCAACTCTGCCTAGGGACTACTATCAATATGCCCACCCCAAAACAGAGGTGACTGCCTACCAGAGTTCACAATGTTTTCAAGCTTTTGATTGTTTCTTCAAGCAGGGGAAATAGCTGTCAGTGAACACAACACCAGACCTACTTCATTTGATTTGCTAAAATAATTGAGATGCCAGTGGCAATTCACAGGTTTGGAACAAAGCTACATAAAATCTACACAACCCTGGACATCATGTCATAATATAAAGTTGGTTTTGGCTAATGTGTTAGCAATAAGTTGCCTATTTACACATCCAGTAGACTTAGATCAACATTAGCTTTCATTCAGTTTCTGGCGACATGACCTATGTTACTCAAAATGTTATCTCTCCTATTATCTCTGTTTTGGTCTCCACCAACTCCTGAGAACAAGATCTGGCCTTTAGCTGCTAAATTCTCCACTACATTCACCAGATTGCTAACCTATTCTCTCTGTTGTTTGGATCTTGGCATGGTTATAGAATGGTCATGGTTAATATAGAAAATATTGACTGGCAGAGCTTTCAGATTGTCAAGAAAGCATTGCACAATTGAATTTATTGTTGTCTATCTGAAACTGGACTGTTAGATCTGAGCCACAGTCAAATCTTTGTGCAACCAACCCTGCCTAGAATTCCCTAAATCACACTTTCTTCTCTAAAGCTCTCTATCTTAATGATCAAACTATCATAAGAACAATTAATTTGGCTACTATTGCACATTGAGTCACATTAATAAATAAGTGAGCTAAATATCAGGCTTTCTTCCCTTAACAGTGGACTGACTACAGTGTCAACATTTCAGTTAATGCCAACATACTGTTTGCATTAACCAGATTGAAGCAACCCATAAAGCCAGGGAACAGGATCTTACTACTTTATCGGTTTTACAGCACCATACACTACAGTTGCTGAGCAAAGTCTTTATCTAATTATGTAATTATGGGCTTTTTCATTCACTGTTTTTTTAATTTTATTTATTTATTTGTTTTTAGTGCAGCAATAGATCCATGTGCCATAATTTGGCGATGACCCACGGAACAGAAACTGCTTGACACTTGCTGCAGACGTGCAATATTGTATCTTTCTAGTGAACATAGAAAGCTGTACCAGTGATGTAACCGACTTGACCGCCTTAAGTGAACATTTTTTATATACCAACATAGTTTAATGGCTGTATTGCCATTGTTTTCATTTGTTTCATGTACCATGACCATAGTTATATTGGGGTTGTCTAAGCTGTATTGCATCCCCTTTAGCATTTAACCTTCAGGAAAATAGCTTGATGAGTAAATAGTAAGTTAAAAGCTATTCCTAGGTTGGCCACTCATATGTCTGCAATTCAAATTTAAAGTTAGATGAGAAAGTTGATATAAATTTCAAGTCTGTGCACATTAAGAACAGAGTTGGACCCAGGTGCTTTTTATTTCTTTATTCATGTATTGTTTTGATGGTGTTTATCATTTTGGAATGGACTCTTATATGGACTTATAACAACAAGTCAGATAGTTTCTCAGTGGAAAATACAAGATGACTAGCACACTTGAAGATCCATCAGCTTCCAAAACAACATCACTCTACCTTTGTCTTCAGAAAATGTTCAGAATGTAATGCTTTCAGGGCAAATTTTATAAATAAAGTCTTTCTATCACACATTTAATTGAGTCCTGATTTACAACTTTGAAGACTGAACATGTCTGACTACCATTCTGCAGAATTTGAGGCCACAATGCTGTCAAGCTCTTCAGTCTGGTTCTAATGATCGTAATGCATAAGAAACAGCTTTACTGAAAAAAGTCATAACTTCTAAGAATAATGTATCAGACACAGTCTTCCTGTGTGATGCACATGTGACTTTAATCCAGATTTTAGAGAGCACTCTGGGCACATCTAATCCCCAAGTAAACAAATCACGTCAGATTTGCCTACGCTACCACTACTTAAAAACACAGCACTGCTGAAAGGCAACTGATCCCACACTCTCATCTGTGTTGTTTATTAATGCATCTGTTGCTTTAAAGGTAATACATTGACTTATTTTCTAATATGTCTGGCTATGATTTATACCCACTGATGCAGATCCTTGAGGAATTACTGTCCTAAAAGGATGTCTGTGCTGTGGCTTGTGGTATGTTGTGTCTGGGATAAATTAATAAATATTTACACACATTTCTTTGAAAAGCCAAAAAAGGAAACATGATATAAATAGTTTTACAAATCCCTGTGAGTACAAAGCCGATTGCTCTTGGTAGTTTGGTTGGGTTTGAACAGCGAGAAAAAGGATCTGATTTGAACTGAGCATGACCCAGATGTGGGGTTTTTAGTCTGTTTTTTCCTTTCCTTCCTGAACACTGCTGCATAAAACACACTGGACATTTGAAATGCCATCTTAGTTTACATCAATTCAATTAATTCTTCCCTGTAAAATAAGGCCAGGTTTCCTAGTAATTATGAAATGGATGTTGACATGCACAGTACCTAAGTCAGACATTGGTAATTTTAATTTATTTTTAAACTATCTTCGTTCATGAGCATGGTCTTACAATTCATGATTTATTGCAGCATGATTTATTGATTTCACCTTATAAGATTTGTAATGCTTTCTTTACAACTATTAGAATAAAAGGACAGTTATTACATAAACCAGTGCCCGAACGACATTTTTGACTGAATATGCTGATGGGACAAAAGCACAGAACCCACAGAGAGACAGCCCAAAAAATAGTCATTTCAAATTAGAGGAAATGTTATGATGTAACATCAAATACAGCTGTGTGATTATGTGCTCTCATTTCAGTTTTTAGTCTTGTAAGGATGACTGAAAGTGAAAATTCTGGGTACCTGGGTAATCAGAGCTGAATAGTTGACAGTACAATGACATCCTGCAGGCACCTATTTAGAAATGATAGTGTTTTTCTCAATTGTGATGTATATAAATAAAAATGAAATATTTTACAGATGTGCCTTCACAGCAGGCCAGAAACACTCCATGGACTAATTTTATATCGACTTCTACTATTATCCTGGGGTGGCCTTGGCTCAGGGGGAGGAGCGGTCGTCCACTTATCAGTAGGTCAGTGATTCGATGCCCAGCTCCTCCAGTCTGCATGTCAAAGTATCCTTGGGCAAGAGTGTGTGATTGGGTATGAATGAGTTCATTTCTATTGCTGGTAAGCAGTTGGTCTCTGCTAATCAGTGTGTGAATGTGACATAGTGTAAGGCATTTTGAGTGGTCGAAAAGGCAACAAAGATGCTATACAAATACAGACCATTAACCTCCCGCACTGCAGCAGGTAATAAGGGGCAGGCTGGAGTAGAAAACAAACTGACCTTTCTCTGTAATGTACTTTATATAGGTATAATATATACATATATTACTGTATTAAATACATATATTAAAAGGTGAATCAAACAGCTAATCTTGAATGTTAAATGAGCTGAAGCTGGAGGCAGTAAGTCTGTGCATGCAACAATATATCTGAGTCCACAGTTTTAGCAGAAACAGAGCAAATCTATACGCAAGCAGGGTCTATTGGAGTGCTAGGGCAGGGTTTTCATTGTATGGGCAGGGTTTTGAGGGAAAGCATTACAAAATCTAAAGGTGAAATCAATAAGTCATTCTCTAAAATTTAAAGACCCTGCTCTTGAATAAAGATAGTAATTTAATCCCATAATTCTTGATTTTCAAAGTGGCATTTCATCAGTTGAAGCATTCCCTTAGGGGATATTGTTTATTACCGTTTAATATTCTTTAAAAGTGAGAGGAAATTGAGAAATTGAGCTTCATCATTTTGCAATAAAAAGCCATAAAAAGGCATTCCTGTAAATCCGATTAGCAAATATACTTACATTTATTCATTTAGCTGATGCTTTTATCCAAGGGGTAAAGTGTCTTGCTCAGGGACACAATGGTGGATGTCTCAAAGTGGGAATTGAACCCAGGTCTCCCACACCAAAGGCAAGCATTTTATCTATGCACCATCATCACCCCCCGCACCCTAAAATGACTTGTTTCATTTTAGTTACATTGTAATAAAAATAGGCCTCACATTTTCCTAAATATATTCTGCAGAATGAAGCACCAACGGGATTCTGGAGTTTTCATGTCCCTCACCACATTTATTTTTTCCAAACAGAGATCTATTTATCTCCTTACTGAGGGATTGTTAAAAAAGAGAGGGTAGGGTGAATACATCTAGAGATACCATCTGCCTTTCTCAGAAGAACATGCATACCAGGGACAAATCTCTTTGAAGCCACATATTAAATATAGTTTTAGATTTTTGTAGTTTGGGCAAAACTCGTTTTTCCTGATGTAAAAATGTGGATTGCTGGGTATTCCACACTTTTTTAACTGGTGTATTACACATGAATGTGTTATACAGGCTTAAGAGTTCACGTTTTGATACATTAAGTCTTAAGCCTGATGCCAAAGAGTAGGAATGAATCTCATTGATTGCTCATTTAAAAACATTGAATTTCCCCATGTGAGATTTATATAGAAAATGCTTTAGAATCCGAATCAGAAAGAGCTTTATTGCCAAATAGTTTTTACATTAGGGATTTGCTTTGGAGATAAGGTGCTACACATAGACAAACATACAGTTGACATAAATAAATGTAGAAATATATATCTATATATATATATACACACCGGGTATGTTCAATGATGTGTGCAAAGATTTACAGTATTTGAGAGGGCAGCGGGGAGTGTGTGAGGGCCCCGGGCCTTGTTGATGAGGCTAGCTACAGAAGGGTAGAACCTGTTTTTGTGGGGAGAGGTTTTTGTTCTGATGGACCGCAGCCTCCTGCCAGAGGGGAGAGTCTGAAACAGTTTGTGACCGGGATGGGAGCTGCAATCTATCCTGCACGCCTCCGAGTCCTGGAGGTGTACAGGTCCAGAAGAGATGGAAGATTGCAGCCAATCACCTTCTCTGCAGAAGTAGTGTCTTCTTCTTCTTCTTCTTCTTCCTCAAGATCAGTTATTCTGATCTCTCTCCCATAAATCTTTAAACCAATGTAAAATATGTAATGAGAGCAATTCAACAACTACAAGGGGAAAAAAGGTTGAACAAGGCAATCTCGGTGGACTGATCTGTGTAATGGAAAACCTTTAGTAGTAGCTGCTGATGTATTTATAGAGCATTTAACTGTTGGAGGTCAATGTATTACCAAAGCCAAATGTTGGAAGCGAAATTAGTAGAAAGCGGTGCTCTACTGTGTCAAATGCCGTGTATCAATTGGAAGACCATACATTCCAGGAGATTTTCCCATTTTGTTAACCTCTTCAAGTACTTTAGATTTTGAGAAAGGTGTATCACAGTCCACTAAAAAATCTTTTAAATATCTGTGAAGAACATTCTCTTTTTTTTGGTTGTACTTGAAATCATTTAAATCAGAATAGAACTGGAAGATGTGGCAACATCAGAAGGGTTGAAAATTAAACCACATTTCCAAAAAAGTGTAAAATGTAAATAAAAACAAAATGTGATGGTCTGCAATATACTGAAACCCATATTTAATAGAAAATGGCACAAAGAAAACTAATCAAATCTTTTGAAAAATGATATGCCCATTTGAATTTGATGCAAGTGACATATTTCCAAAAAGGTGGGACAGTGGCAACAAAAGACTGGAAAAGTTGTGAAATGATAAAAGAAAACACCGGGTGAAACATCTCACAACTAATTAGGTTAACCGACAACAGGATAGTAACATGACTGGGTATAAAAGAGCATCCCAGTTTTTTTGAAGTAAAGATGTGGAGGAGTTCACCACTCACAAATATTTCAACATTAATGTCTACAGTACATCATATCAGTAGAAGATTCAGAGAATCAGTAGAAACCTCTGTACGCAAGGGGTAAGGCTGAAACCAATACTGGATGGCCGTGACCTTTGGGCCCTCAGACGACACTAAATCAGAAACAGACAGGATTCTGTAGTGAACATCACTGCATGAGCAGAGGAACACTTTCAGAAACCACTGTCTGTGAACACAGTCTTCACTGCCAACACATTCTCCACAAAAGTTGAATCTCTATCATGCAAAGAGGAAACCGTATATAAACCAGTTCCAGAAACGCTGCCTCCTTCTGTGGCCCCGATCTCATTTAAGATGGACTATGGAAAAGTGGAAAACTTTCCTGCTCTGATGAGTCTAACTTTCAAATTTGTTAGGAAATCATGGGATAAAGAGGAGAGGGACCATCCAGTTTGTTATCAGTGCACAGTGTAAAGGCCAGCATCCGTGATGGTATGGCGGTGGCCCATGGGTAACCCATGCCATGTGCACTAATGCACATTTGTAAAAGCACCATTAATGCTGAGCAATACAGATTTGGAGCAACATTATGCTGAGTCCTGGTGCTAAACTGGCCTGTCTGCAGTTCTGACTTGTCACTCAGTAAAAATGTTTGCTGCATTATGAAATGTAAAATACGACCAAAGAGACCCCGAACTTTTGAGCAGTTGAAATCTTACATCAAGCAAGACCGGGAAAACATTCCACTTTGAAGATTCCAGCAGTTTGTCTCCTCAGTTCCTAGACGCTTACAGAGTGTTTTTAGAAGAAGGCGACCATGCCTTTTTTGAAAAGCGTTGCTGATATCAAATTCAAAATGGGTACATCATTTTCCAACAAAACAGTTTCAACATTTGATAAGTTGTCTTTGTGTTATTTTCTATTAAATATGGGGTTTCAATGTTTTACATTCCTTGCATTTTGTTTCTATGTACAGCGTTGAATATATCATTTCTTTTTTACAGAGTGAAAAATATCTTGTAATTCTTCTCACCTTCCTCTAGCCCCATGCTTTCCAAACTTAGGGTCGGAACCCAAAATGGGTTGCAGGCCCATTTTCATTGGGTAAAAAATTCATAACAATGTTACACTATGTAAATATGTGAATGAGCGTTGTTTTTTTGCTACACTTGTTTATTCAGCTCAGATGCTGTGTGAGGTTTGCTCTCTCTCTTCTCCCTAACCTGATCTTCTGTCCACATTCTTACAAAATGTTTATGTCTGTATAGATGCTTCGATGTGGTTTAAGGGGTTTTTAAATGAATAAATTGGACAGTTATCTCCAAACGAAACATTCGCTGTATCTGGGAAAGTTCAAAGTTCATTTTTTTTGTTTGCAAAAAAGAATCCTTCAAGATGTGTTGATTCAATTTTTCACAACATACTTGTGTGAATTTAGATGTATTTTTGTGAATGTGGGTCCCAGTGAGACACCAGATTTGTCTTTCAGGTCTTGAGTTAAAAAGGTTTGGGAACCAGTGCTCTAGCTTTTAGAGCGCATAAAGGCCACTTTGGCCATATTAATATATAATTGGTCTCTTTCTTCTTTCAGATTTGTCAATTTTAATTCTTCCCCTACTGTAAGAGTGTCTTTGCTTATTAACATATTTAACTATTTTATAGTTTCTATTTCTTTGATATGTTTGATCGCTAATTCTGTGATTTTAAATTTTGGACACATCATTTTGATATGATCCAAAATGTCTCTAACAGTTGTTTCCACGGATTTACAAGAAGTTGAATCTTTCAGTGGATTACAATTAGGTTTCCAATAACCATGTTTTTTTTTTCTAGTGCAAAGGTGATGACTTTCAGACTGTGGTGTAACTATGTAATGTTTCAGAATCAAATTGCAGAGTAGAAGAGAATAATAACCAAAAGGTCAATTTGACATTGTAGCGAACCAATAGCATTGCTACATGTATAGTCTTTCTGGTAAGGACGCCAGACATCAATGACACTGAGTTGTTTACACACACACACACACACACACACACACACACACACACACACACACACACACACACACACACACACAGCTTTAAACTGAATTAAGAGTTACACTGGCGGAAAATCTATCTCAACGCCAATAATAAAATGAGCATTTTGGTATTTCTTCTTTATCTTTAATTCTACTGCTATGTGTAAACAGGTTTTTTGCTAAAGAATTGTTGTTATGTCTGTAAATTTTATTTACCACTAGAAGCATATTATTTATTCTAAGAACTCGGGTAACCCATACACATCTGTATCAATAACCGGGATAATTGTTGGCATATAAACTATGAAGCTATCCAAGCAGGTAACAAAGACACAAACCAGGCTTGAGTTAAACACTCTCATGCTGCCACCTGCTGGTAGAGAGGGGAAGAGGTAGCAGTGACACGGTCTGTGTGGATAAATACCCAATATTAAACCTCAGGTAATCAACTAGGCTACCTGCTTCCATCAGTCCAGGTTTTTTTCTTAACGTTACCCTGGTATGACGTAGTGCTGGCATTATATCTGCTACGTAGCAGAAGGGTGTTACAAACTCTGTTTCACTTTACAATTTGTTGTAATGGGACAAATAAATCTTCCTTGTATCTTGTATAATGTTACAGAATGGCCATTCGATACGCTTGGCTTTTATTTTTTAATTGTTACTTTTTCTTCCGGGTCACCTGACCCACCTGTGTACTTTTTCTTAATGTCTTTCTACAAACGGAGAAACGAAAAAAGGAATTAGCAAAAATTCGGACCTAGCTGGACTTTATTCTTCTTCCCTTTTCATCAGCGGGTCTGTTGACATGCTAATGAGACAGAGGGAGGCGGCGGCGGCAGAAGCCTCCGTGTTTTCACTCCGCACTGTCCTCTCAGACAAACAACATGCACTACGCGGGACTGTCGGTCTAGCTGACGCCGTCTCCGTCCGAGCCTTTGTGTGACCATTTGTGTTCGAGGTTAGTCTGTTTATTTTTCTTCTTCTTCTGTAAAATGTCAGGGTTTACATGGCTTGTTTTTGTACTGCGTAACGTTACACTGGATGTGACGAGCCCTGCATTGCGTTTCTGCTGCTCTGACTTTCATGCCTCCTACTTTGAAACAAATCACTGCATTATTCAGATTATGTGAGCTAGTTAGCGCCAACAGTGACTTTTATGTAACTAAGTTACAGCTTTATATCAGCCTGTTCTGAGAGATTTACTGGAACCTTATCATGAATGGATTTGGTATTTGTGTCATAAAAGCACTGTTGCTGAAGTACAGCTACTTAATTCCCTAACTCCCAGACATGTTAGCCTATCTGGTAACCAAATGGTAAATTTATAGTGACTTAACTTTTTTTTTACTTTTAGGTATTGCTTTCAAACTTAGAGTATGTTTCTATGAATTCCCTACTAGTTAGAAATGACTTTGATCCCCAGTGTGCTTGCCATAGACATTAATATATTTTCAGTTTATTGTTTTATTGTTGAGCTGAAATGCCTCTCTCAGATGTCCCTTAAGAAAACTACTGTATTCATCTGTCTGTGCTGCTCACTATTGAATTACATGCCAAGATATTCCTTCAGTGTTGTCATTATAGTCACATAATTCCCCTGGGGAGTTAGTGATCTACTGCATAAATGTTTAACAGGTTTTGGTATGTACTGAGTCCTGTTAGGCTAGTAGTGTAGCTAGTAGCCTTCATGAAGTGCATTCATTTGAATGGGATTTGTTTGTAAGGCTTCAGGGTGACGTCAGGGTCCAGTGAGTCTGGAGGGATAGGCAGTACAACAAGGACTCTTCACAGGAAATTAACCTAGTGAGATAATGTAAAGCTTGTTTTCACTTTCTGTTTTCTGATTCCTGTAATATAGACTGACGAAATCAGTTTGTATCCTGAAACAAAAGTAGTCAAAATCAATGAAACAGAGTGCGAGATATCCAGGTCTTTGCTCTTTTACTCACTAGAATGGGTTAAAGGTTCGAAAACACTGGATCTTACGCTTCCCATTATGAAACTCTAGAAAACCTCTTAAATTAACACCTCCCTGCCTGGGAAATATAGTAAAGTAGTACTCCTAATGCTGAGTGAATTGACTTTGATATGTAAAAAACCCCAAAACAGTATAGTGCCCCTTGAAAAGAAGAGCCACGACAATATAAAAGGTATGACATGAATTATTTACCAGCATAAAACTGCAGTCAGTAACCCAGTGCATGGCATGCTGGTTTAGTTTGATTAGTTATACTACTTTGCCTCTAAGAGTTATTGTACATACTTACCATTTATTCAGTGTTACTAACTGACAAACTTTGGTGTTATTTATAATATGCACAAGTTACATGTTTTAAACATGAAAATTCTCAGTTATTCTAAAGTCTAAAAGCATACAAGGAATGCACTCTTTGCTGCAGAAATGTGATTACTGAGCTATTAACAGGGCTTATTTATGTCTAGATTAGTACTGATCTGAACAAAACAGCAACAGAACTCACTACAGAAACAACACCATAACATCACAGCATTATGGTCCCTTTGTCAAAAAGCTATTGAATTCAGGTGAGATTAAGTTTCAGATGATTCATCTCTTGTTCCTGATTCCCCGTCATTCCACTGTGCTGTTTTGTTAAAAAGCTTGGGTTTTCACTTTCCAGATTTGTAATTTTGCAAGTTTGAGGAACCGTTGAGCCCTCCATGCGCACATTCTACAAAATGCTACTTTTTCTTAGTTCCCCAAGCGTTTTTTTGGTGCTTTCCGCCTGAATACTGCGGCATACTTCAACGTCATACAGGACGCCGTTGTCACACAATTCTTATTCTGCAAATACTCCCAGCAACGTCAGACATTAATTAAACGCAGTGCAACAAGTACACTAATTGTGCATGGATATGCCATGTAATCATGTGGAGACAGTGTAAAAACAGAGGTAGGTTGTCAGTAGTTGTTTGTGTCCACGCCCGTGTGTGTGTGTGTGTATGTGTGAGAAAGGTGGGGTGGATCATTGGACCTCTAAAGATCAGACAGCCGTCTGTAGTGTTGGGGGAAGGGGCAGTGTGGGTGTGTGGCCTTCACAAGCCTAATGGCCTGTGAGTAAAAACAGTTTTTCAGTCTTGTCCTTGCTTTCATACTCCTACGGCGTCTTCCTGAAGGTAGACGTGTGAATAGGTTATGCATGGGGGTGACTACTGTCCTTAATGATGTAGCGGGCTTTTTTGCTGCTAGCTAGGTAAGCTTGGTCCTTTCATCATCTACACATTTTAATGTTAGCTTCAGTAATGTTGAGAGAAACAGTTAGGATGGGACTTTTGGGTTTGTGGTCTTTTCAGATAATCACTGGTAATTCCCATGATGCTTTGTGAGAAAAATCAATGTTAAGAATGTCTTGTTTTTACAGTTCATTTTGACCACAAAAATATAAAATCTAAGATATAAATGCTGTGTATTGGAGAAATGATTTTACTTTTTGTTCAAGGTCTGGCCTGCTGATTCTGAGCCTACATCCACACTTTGTTTAAAAATGGATTTTTAAAATGGAAACGATCTCCGTCCACACCAGCACTTCAGCTGCGTTTCAGAATTGCGTGTGTAAATTTGCAGAATCGGAAATGTGAGACTGCTCGACCCGATCATGGCCGTCTAAGCCAAAAACCGGATGATTCCTGTCAGCCGCTGATCGATTGGTGCATCTAAATTACGCATAAGAATTTTAAACCCAGCCGCAGGAGGCAGTTTAATTGGACATAACTGGGGACTATATTTTTTGTCATAGACACTTCTAACAATCTAAACCTGTAAGTGGGAAAAACAAGCACTTTTAGTGGACTTACATTGACAGTGCACAGTTGTCTTGAGGATTACATTCAACCTTGTTTGGCAGCTGCCGGCTGCAGCACTCTCACTCAGTACTGGACCAGTTTCAAGAATTGTTGTTCCCATTAGTCACTTGGACACAAAACCCAGGGAAAATAGGTCCAGGTTGAAAAATTCCTAAGTTTCCCTTTTGCACACTGGCCCAGTTTGTTACCCAGAGGTGCTATCAGAGTTTAGCCTAATGTTACTAGCTCTGACGGAGTGGAATGCAGTGGGCCCAGTGCATTCTGGTTGTTGTAGGTTTTCTAGCTTTTGAGCAAAAGGGAATACCACAGTCCCTTTTCACTGTTCTCTCATACATATTTTTATTGCATAGACAGCTCAGTTTTATAAGAATACTGTGTTTTCAGCTGTTAAATACCTCCTTATTTTTTTTTTACAACTCAGAATTTCTCCTTAGTAATATCTACAATAGCAGTTACATATGATACACTGTACTCTTCAAATTAATTGTTGACATCTGGGTCAAGAACCATGGACATCATCAGTTAGGTTTTGGGCTTTTTCATAAATCTTTTGTTTGAGTTACTGGAAAAAATTCAAATACAAGAATGAACCCTTACTTTTTGGTTGATCACATGTAACAGATGATGAGCGGTCCCAAGTAAACATTGCTTTGTTTTGGCACCCTTAATATAAATAAAAATCCTCATTGCACAGGAAAACATTTTTGCACAAATAACAGTAAGTCAAGTTTACCTTTGTTCTGTCCTCCAGATAAGTTTGACTAACTTGACTGCATTTTAGCACAATAATGCATTCAAAACAAATACATTTAGCAATAAACTAGAATTATACTTTATAAGAAAATGAGTGGGGCCATATTGTAAATTTAATGGCCAAATGTGGTGCTACAGGGGTTTTGTGGTAAGAGGTGGTGCACTCATAGTAAGGCACCACTAAATGGGTAGAGGCATCTCTCTGAGGAGCACAAGGGGCCTTTTCTGCTCAATGCTCCTGGACAATGAAACCCAGCCCGGGAGGTGATTTTGGCTGCCAGACTGGCAGTATTTGGTCTTCTTTGTTGTACAGCTGCATCCTTCAACGCAGCTGCACTGCAAAACATGCTTATTAAACCAAGTTAGCACTATTTGTAAATGCTCCGTATTTGTATAGCGCCTTTCTAGTCTTTTCGGCCACTCAAAGCTTTTACACTACTCATGCATTCACCAATCACACACATTCATACACTGAGCCTAAGTGCTCAAACAGAAACTAACATTCACACACATTCATTCAGCCACCAGGGGCAATTCGTGGTTCACTTCGACATGCAGCCTGGAGGAATGGGCAACCCGCTCTACCTCCTGAGCCACAGCTGCCCCAGCATTTTGACCTAAAACATAGTCCGTGAGATTGTTTGTAGTGGTGCTCAGATGACATCAAATGTCAGGCCAATAGTAGTAGGAGGCCCAAAGCAACAATAAGCTTGTATTTCTCCTGTAGTAAAGAAATGTTGATCCTGTCCAAATTATTTCACTTCACTGACATATTGTCAGGATTTGTGGTGTGGAAGGTTGGTGGAACCAAATGCAGGACACTGGAGTAAAGCAGGTGCAGTTCAAAAAGGTTTAATACAGGCAAACAAAATGCGAGCACACTTACTGGTAGAGTGGCTGATAAACAGAGTCCAAAATAAAACAAGGTAATCAAACAGAAATCCAAAGTCCACAGAAATAGGGAAACGCAAAGGGCAAGGCAGGAAAAACCACTACAACACGAGACAGAGCGTAACACACTACAATGACCAGACAAAGACTGAGGGGAAACAAGCAAGCATATGTAAACAGGGTTAACGAGCTGGGTGGGGATACACAGGTGAGAGACATGATACTAACGAGACGCAGGCAGAGAGAGCAGGGGAAAACAGAGAGACCATAGACAGTATATTACTGGACGAAGCCACTCCGCTGATTTGAATGGAGAGCAGTGAAGCCAGTTTTGGACCAATAAAATACTACTACAGGGCTACTTCCTGATAGCACCAGCGTCTCCTGTGCATGATCGTGCAGCATAACCGTGGTTTAATGACGTAGAGCAACGGCAGAAACACCGTAATTCTGGTAGCTGCGTAGCTGAACCAACTAAAAGTTTCATGGCTC